GAGGAAATGGAGGAGGAGAAATAAGGTCGTAATTAATGAATGAATGAACGGCTATCATAAACTTTATTTACCGCTATCTCTTATCAGGACTTCAATCCATCTAGTTGAGGCCACGCTACATATCGTATACCGGTACGATGCTGCCATTTAATAACTAGAGATGGGCCGAATATTCGTTTCACATTCAGTATTCGGCACATTCGGCAGCTTTACCGAATATTCGGCTAAATCACCGAACATTCGTTTAAGTGGTACGCAGCGCCTACTGTATTGAAATATTCGAATTGAGTAATACCATGTCATTCATAATTTTGCTATTGATAGTATATTTTATTTATGTTATGGGCTAAATCTACTTGAAATGTTATGTTTTTGAGGCACTGTACATATACCGAATATTCAGTTCGGTAAAAGGTTTATTGAACTTTCGGCCAAATATTCGTATTCGGTGAAATCCATATTCGGCCCATATCCATTAATAATCTGCTTTCCTATGATTATATTCTAATTATGTATTCATAAAGTGACTGGAAAAATATACTCATTTATTATAGTAAATATGTACTCATGGTAACGAATGCGAAAAATTATTAACATATTTTTATTTTAAAATATTTCGCATTCGTTACCATGACTATATATTTCATACAAGAATAATTAGAACTTTATTTCACAATAAGTATCGATCACAAACTAATAAGAAGTACTAGCGTAGTATCGATATCGACGGTAGTTTTGGGTCGGGCTTCACCAGCCCGCAGGTGTATTGTGGTTATCTCTGATAGGCCGTTTCTTGCGAATCATTGCTGCGGCGCCGGATTGCCTCAGCGACCAGACGACCCAGGTTTTTAATATTTATTTACACATGCAAATGCGTTCCACCCGGTCAAAACAACTATACGACGACTGCGAATCGAAATGGTTATAAGGCATCCAGAATCGAATATTAGCTTCGTATATGAATGTATGCAACATGTTGCAACCAAACGAACGGCATAACAAAATGTCCGTACCTGTTTATATATTTTATTCTCTCATTTCTTATGTCAATGTATTTAAAAAAAACATTACTGTGGAATAATAACCGTCAATTTTCATTCATCCAGTTAAAAATAAAATGCTGTAAATTTGTACATATATACAATTTATATAAATATATACATATATATGTGTGTGTGTGTGTGTGTAAAATTTAACTTAATTTGTAGCCCGTGTCTCAAGCTCTGTCGTAGTTTTATATTTTGTATTATAAGTTATTTAATTAACACTATTGATTTATTAAGTGTAATAAGTGCAGACGTGTCAAATGATGAAGTGAAAGAAAATACTCGCGGAAAGTTCGTAAGATTAATGAAATATATTGTTTAATTTTTCAGCTTCAAGTTTTTGAATATTATTTTTATTTACTTTTTCTTAACAAACTTCTAAAAGTCTTTTAAAAGTCTACTGATAAACATAGGCCTCGTCAAGTTCATAGATTGGTTCATAGGTGAACAATTGCCATAGTCCCCACGCTTGGCAGACGGGTTGCCAACAGTAATTTTTTATTTCATAGCTGTAATAACAATATTAGGAATACTCTGCTGCAATCTGTTTCACTCTGTCGTCTTACGACGCTCACTTGGCGGTATGAGGTAGTGAATATTCTTATACCGCCACTTCGTTTTTATTTTCTTTATACAAACTGACTTGTTGCGAAGCAATCAGTTTAGTCAGATTATATTTTATCTGATAACTTTTATATGATTAAAAATCAGCTCTTAAAATTGTAGGTTATAAATATTAAAAATGAAGAAAAAAGGATAAAATTCTTGACATTTGCCACAAGATTAAGTGGAGCGTAACAGTAGTAGCTTAGCTCGGTTATGAACGCATCGTGCATGTAGATATTTAATTAATACGGCTGATAGGGACGCTCTAGTCCGACAGCGGATGTTTTCCAGACAGTCAGATATGTTATTCAGTTAAGTCGATATTAAATGCGCGCTGCTAGGTGCAAACTGCTACTAATTTCACTCAGCTGTAGTCATCATTTGCACAGGCTTTAGGTAAATTATTCAAAGTTCTTCGATTGCTAGGAAATAGCTGAAAATTGATATTTAAGTAGCGTTTGAAGTATCGGCGCTGGGGAAACCAATCTCGGTCAAGTATCTAGTAGTATGCAACCGGAGTGGAATATAGAAACTATTTTATATACTAATTGACAAATATTAATAAACTGTAGAAGTTACAAAATTATATTATAAATGTAATCATATTTAAATAAACAATGTTTTATTTGTAAATTTAGCTTTTAGTGATGATATTCGATACATACCTATTAGTATTAAATGATGTTATTTAACACTTTTAGAGAAGCCGTGGTATCGTGGGGGTCAAGCGTTTGTCTTAACGACTAAAATTAAATCAATCAAAAGATGATGAAGGAAAACATTGTGAGAAACATGCCTGAGGAATAAATATAATTCGAAGACATGTAAAGTCCTACAACTGGAGCAGCGAGGCTCTAATTGCTACACAACCTTTTCAGAAATGTGAGGAGTTCTGCGCCAGGCAGTGGGACGCATATAGGCGGTAACTTTAATAATTTTACTTCCTTATTTAGTAGGAGCGGAGCTCCCTTGGCGCAAGAAAATGATTCTTTGAAATCTATCTCCTCCGTAACCCGTAGGCCAATATACATAACTTTTTTGGGCAATATTTGTAGCTCAACGCAGACAAGGTTCGTAAACAATAAAAATCTGAATTTGATTTTTTTCTTTTACTATGTAATCCATTCGCTAATTTATTAGATGACCTGATTAATTTAAATTGATTAGATGAGCTGATTAATTTACATCTGGGAAATGTCACACCATTTGATTGAATCTTTTGTTGAAATAAAGATAGTTATGACTTAAGACTTTTACTCCGCTCCCTGTATGATGCTAGCAAAAGGTTTTACCTTTGCATCTGCATCGGCCCTAGTTAAAATTAAAGTTTCAGCCTAAATAAGTCCCACTCCTGGGCACAGGCCTCCCGCTCATTTCTGAGAGGGGTTTTAGGGTAAGGAATTGTCCGCCACGCTGTCCCAATGAGTGTTGGCGAATTTCACAAGTCTTCGAAAATATTATGCAGGTTTCCTCACGATGTTTTCCTTCACCGCCGAGCACGTAGTAAATCAGCACTTAAAATTGCAATTAACAGTTTCATTGGTGCCGGTGAGGATCGAACCCGGTTTGCTCGTGTACTGTGAAATTTACAGCGAGCGGTAACCATCTAAGCTTTTATCGGTCCTAGTAGTTTTATATAATTCATATTTGAATATTGTTACTTGAAACATAAACGTTTCCGTCGTTGCCATCAAGCAGCAGTACGTGCATTGCGTTCCGGTCTGAAGGGTAAACTAGAGTCAGTATATGTACAGGCAGTCTTCTTTGTTTAAAGTCGGCTGCAGCAGCTATCAGGTTTGTCACTTCAATGTTATAAATGTTTGACTTACTAAAAGTGCTTCGTAAAAGCCAATTTCAAATAAGAATATTCGACTTGGAGTAAAGAAAAATTACAATGACGTAACGAAATGTTTAAGTGCAAGTGTACTAATTCAATAAAACGTTTATGACTGATTATATCTTTGTTTTAATTTACCGAAGCATGACCTGTACTATGTAATAAATATTTAGTGTAAAACATTAGCCACCCAATTTAGATTTTTGTTAAATACTTAGACATTTAAGAAGCTAATTAATTTCCTAATATATTCAACTCGATCATTATAAAACTTATCTTGCGAACGAAGTTATTTTATCTGTTTCTCTAATTATCTATGTGTCGAATTTTTTATTTTTTGCTTTGACATAGTTATTTTTACCAAATAGGGTAAATAATATTGTATAAAAAACAGAGGATTATAATTTTTATAATAGTGAATGCGTTTAGCATATTTCGCCATCTTTATTCTTTAATTTTAAGGAATATGCTAAGAATAAGTTTCAACAGCTAAGTTGTATAAAAAATTACGCAATTTAATGTTTAAAAAATACTTTCTATTAATTTCATATAAAAGCTTTTTGCGCTTCTAATCTTGTAATAATGTTTTATGTGCATAGCTTTTACATGCCTCAAATTTTCACTTTTAAACTAATAAAAGTTAAAAAAATATATAAAGATAGCCATGTCCCTCGGAGGCATAATTGTTACATATATTATAACATGAGTATGTGATTATCTTTATGTATGTTTATTTTTATGTAAAGATATTAAAAAATAAACACAAACGTACCCATTCATAAGTCCCAACACATCACAACTGATTATAAAATACCCTTAAATTTAATAACAATGAAGTTAACTATACTATGAAAGTGTTATTTTAATATCATTATGCATTAATTTTTAAGCAATAATTCATATAGACACAATAAAAAGAACTCCAAAAAATCGCATCACTAAATTGATATTAATTCTTTAAAAGTCTTCAAATATTAGTTGTAATATGTAATATATTATATTATAAAACACTGTGCTATTTGTCGATACAAATATTGTATTGGAATAATAATTTCTTTAATGATAACATGTGCATTCACCACCGCGATATCTATATATCTCTATAAATTATTGAAGTTGTTACGTGTTATGGAGTCATTATTCGGATATTTTAAGTATGTAATTGCAAATTCATTATGTCATATCGTACGATATACTATTCAATAGTAGTTCCTAGTCGCGTGAATTAAATTTACTGACCTAGTGATATTGTGTAAAGAAATAAATCTGTTAAAGACGTTACGACGTGTATTGTTGTGTATTCCCGAAAAGCATAAAGATCCAAATTACAGGATGTACTTATTAATGTATTTGTCAACTTAACGGCCAGCAAAATCTAGAGTACGTGATTATTTTTAAACCGTTGAATCGACTTACCGGTTTGTAACGCACTTACTCTTATCAGGACCAAATGGGCGTATTCACGTGGAATAAGCACGTGTCGCACTGTTATCACTGGCGGATCGTCTCACCTGCTGCCGGGCGCGCGAGCACGAGCGGCAGCACAAGGAGCGGCAGTAGGGGCAGCCGCATGCTCGCGCTAGCGCCGCATGCCGGCGCGCCCGCCGCCGCGGCACTGTGCCGGCCGCGCCGCCGCGGCACGTGCGCGCACCGCCTGCTCCAGGTGAGTGCAGCGCGCCCGAGTGACACCGCGCGTCGCATCCGCCCCTTACCATCGGTGTTGCCCTGGCGGAGTGCTGGCGCGGACTGAGCGCTGAGCGCCGAGCGCGGCCAGCCCGCGCGGACTGCAAGTGCAGCCGGCGGCGTGGCGACGCGTGTCGACGACCGCGCCGCGCCACGCGCCTCCCGCGGCCTTCCGCCTCCGCGGAATGCGAGTGCACACTGCGCCGCGCCCTACTCATCCTTACTGATCACAACACACAAACCAGATGGTGCTAGTTGACAGTCTTTCTCATCACCACCGACCTCACTATCCAACATATAACATCCAATTTTTCAAACACATATTTTATGAAACCTTAAAATATAGATTTCATCATCATCATCAATATAGATTATAATCTTACAGTAGTTATGAGTTTATTAATAAGTAAGTTTAATTTAATTTACGAACTTGAAATCATACTGATAGATCAACGAATTTTGCGTCAGTTAAGCGTTGATGTCTTTTCAAGGGCGCGTATTACTTTGCACAAAAAATCTCAGTAACCACTTACATAAAAATGTATACCACATTGGTAAATTTAAGAGGAACGAGTAAACACTCTTTCATATGTGTAAAATTTCGTTAGCCCTCATTTTCTTTGATATTACGAACATTTTTGTAAATAAAAAGGTATTAAAATGAAACCTTCCATGATTTTACAACATATAACTGTAGTATGTACGTTTGTCGTTATTGGATAGTGCTATGAAATTACCGTTATCAATTACTGAAACAGAGAAATTTAAACAATTTTAATAAGTTTTGTAAGTATGAATATTTAACAAATCAATTCTCTAAAAGTTTCTAATTTGCTTCGTAAACTTTATATTTATACCGAGTAAAAAGTAATTTTAATTACAAAAAAGTCGAAAAAATAAAAATTTTGTATAACTCACTTCAATATAAATAGAATGAGAACATGATCAATAGTCGAAGTCAATTAAATACACATTGTTAAGGATAAGTCAAAAACTACTGGTCAGATCTTGATCAAATTTGTATAACAGTACATGGAAAGCATCAGATTTTAAATAAAAAGAATCATCTAAGCGACAGTAGCCTAATGGCAGGGTGCGGACCGCAAACTCAAAAAGGTCGTGGGTTCGAATCTACTATTCGACTACTGGCGTGACACAAGCAATTTAAGCTTACCACGAGTGGTTAAGGGGAATTTTAGTAATGTTTATAGCATTGTTAATATTCTTTAAAAAAAAAACAATTCACCTAGAAAAAAGTTCTGATGTAACAGAGATAAAAAAAGTCGCATTGAGAACCTCGTCCGTTTTTGAAGTCCTTTGAAAAAGGAAATCATTGGTCTGCGAGTACGGTGGACGACGGAGAGTTCAAGTCGAAGTTCCCGTAATTTTGAAGTCATTCTATTATGTGTGCAGGAGCGTTATCGTGGAGAAGTAGTAAACTAGGGCAATCAAAAAGTCCCAATTGGTCGACAGTGAGCTTGACCATCATCTGTTGTAATTTCAGACAGATCAGATCTCAAGGAGCTGTACAATAACAAAGCAACTTGTTTTGACACAATTTGAAGTTTTATATAATTACTAGCTTGCCAGACAGACGTTGTTCTGCCCTTTTCGACTACAATTCGTCATGTCCTATAAAAAATCCTTTAATACGCAAAAAAAATTTGTGGGCAAAAAAACTATCCTATCTCTCAAGTTGGACCAAACTGCACACGGTGTGCAAATTTGATTAAAATCGGTTATGTAGTTTAGGAGTCCATCGCGGACAAATAACGGGACACGTAATTTTTATATATTAAGATGGTATGACTATCTATCCATTAACTCAAAGCGACTAACGTTTCCAATTATAATATAGTATTTAATTTTCAACACAAGTTAAAATCCGATCCAATTTATTTATTCCCACATTGGTGTGTCGATTCAAGTTTTATTTTTGTCCTTCAGTAAGTTTGTCTTTAAAAACTTCTGTTAAACTTCCATTAAACTTCTGTAAATATCAATGTTACCGTTACAGCCTATAAAAATCCCCTGGTAAACATAAGCTTCCCCCATACATTGTTTCATACATATTTGCCATAGTTACCACATTTGGTGGACGGATTGGCAACCGCAGTTCATTTTGTTTTGTTATTAGAAAAACGTTGTTGCTAATCTCCTGATTTGTTTCCCTTTATCATCTCTTACGACACATGATATGGGGTAGTAGATATTCTCACACCGCCACTACATGTTCGTAGTATATTTCGCTTCCGGTATTGCTTTCAATTCGTCGTTATTTTTAGCCTTTTTACGTCCACCGATCTCGATAATTTGACAAGTAAATACTAGTCGTTGATTTTGCGTGCCGTATATATTATAGCCATGCTAAAGTGGAACTAATATTAAAAATGCCTTAAATTTTTATTTTTTCCAAAGAAAAAACAACGGCGTGAAAAATATTAACAACGATTTTTATAAAAGAAAGCAAAATAAAGCAAACTTTTGAACTAAAATTTTGATCTTTTGATCTGAATAAAAAAGGGAAATGTCATTTATAAGTATTTGATAAGGGATTAATACGAAAATAGTATTTGAATGCAAGGTATGGTTAAATTCTCATAACCAATTTAGACCATGGCAACAACATTCAAACATTATGATAAACATTACGTGCCCAGCCGTGTTTGGATGCAGTATTTGAGACACGGGGAAAATCATAAAAAACCCAAATGCGTGCTTCAAGCTATGTGTCATGAAAAGACCTGTAAATGCATACAAAAATCTTTCTATTTTTAACTGAGTTCAGAAAAAGAAAAAATAGTTTACAATTCAACTGTATGTTTATTTTTTGAATGTTGTGTAACGCCTCACATACGCGATATATTCGTCAACTGTGAAATAATTTTAAGATTAGAGTTATAATTATACCATATAAGTTTAAAGAAGATATTCCAGCTCTAAGGTTAAAAAAATTGTTAATTTTCCTGTTGAATAATTACTTAAAATTAATTGTTTCACCTAAATTGCTTCATGTCTCCAATAATGTGTCATTATTTAAATTTTCAGTTTCCTTAAAAGGCTTAAAGAAACCGATTTATAACACAGGTACATTTTCAAAACAAAAAATATAAATGAAAATATAAAAAAATTCATATGAATCTTTCATGTAAATAATTAGTATTCGTTGCTAATTTAAAGCTTTGAACACCAGTTTATATTACGCCAGGCAGATTGGGTTCCTGCGCGATATTTCTCGCAAGCTTACCTTTGGACACCGTCATAAGATAGAGCGTATCGTATCGTCATTAAGCAAGATTTATAGCTGCGAAATATTAATAAAAACAAATAATACCATTTCAAATATTAAATACTAAAATATCTTTTACTATATCTTATCTGTTAATAAAAGTTAGTTAAGTTACAGCCTATATACGTTCCACTGCTGGGCACAGGCCTCCCCCCATTTGCTCAGAGTATTTTAGGGCAAGGAAGTGTCCGCCGCGCTGCCCCAATGCGTGTTGGCGAACTTCACATGTTTTCGAAATTTGTTTTTCTTATTCCTCAGTCATGCAGGTTTTCTCACGATGTTTTCCTTCACCGCCGAGCACGTGGTAAATCAGCACTTTAAATTGCAATTAATAATTTCATTGGTGCCGGCGGGGATCGAACCCGGGTTACTCGCGTTCTGTTGTATTTACAGCGAGCGTTAACTATCTGAGCTACCACGGCTATATGTTAATAAGTTCTAGTGAATATTGCATTTAAATATTTCATCAAAACATAAATTATAAATTAATTTTACAATAGCATAAAAATAATGTATCATGTATGCTTTTTAATATCAAGATACTTATACTTGCTTCAAACACTTTATAATGAACTAATGATTAGTTATAAATTATGTAATTATTGTAGTTCATGTGTAAGCTTACTTTGATTTCTTAGCGCTCGCGTTTGAGTAAACCGAGTACGAACGAAGTAGTTGGTAATAATTTTAAATGTTTACCTACCACATTCTTGACTAGTCAAATATCGTAATGCAGCCATCATGTTTAAGATTAATAAAATTTTAAACATATATATTAAGACTTTTGCTCACCCACTCTCTCCGTTACTCAAAAGAATGGAGGCCAGTGCCCCACATCAGGAAGAAATGAATTTCTATAGTTCTAAATCACAACGACAGACAACAGAGCACATATTATGACATATAATAATATGATACATGGCTTACATTTACTTACATTGGCATAAATCTTAGTATATTTTCATTTGATGTTTTCTTTTTTATTGGAGGTCGAGCGTTTATTTTTAATATTGACAGCGTTCTGAATACATACCGCTCATATTTCTTTTAACTTTTGTCTCTTTGGCATTACTCCAGTTTGGTTGCAATTTCTTAGCGGATAAAAAATATATCTTGAAAAACAATTAACCATTCACACTTAAATATATATATATATATATATATAAATAGTTATTCTTTTCCTTTAGTCTTTGCGTTATAGCGTGGTAGTCACTAAAACGTTTCTTGTTCGTTTTAGCATTTTAAATAAACAAACTCAACAAATAGCAAAAATTGACTTAACAAAATACAACAATAAACTCAATAATCGAATATAAAAGAAATATAAACTCAAATAGAAACTACAAAACGGCCGAATATACAAAGTACTAAAAACTAGCATAGATTATATACGTTACATTTATATAGCGAAACACGCTAGCACTCGTACCTTGAAAAGCTGCAGGTGTAGTCAACGCCGTACTGAAAATCACAGGTGCTGACAATCAATTTCTTTGTTTTAATGTCAAGATAAATTAACACAAAATAGATGATTTTTATTTTCAAATTCATACATCGTATAATATGTTACTATAATGTCATATTATGTATTAAACTGTGACTAAAATTTACATGCATTGTAATTTATTAGTTAAGAAATATATGTTCCGCTTTTATTTTTTTTGTAGATAATCAATAATTTGCTTTGTGTATCGTTAATCACCTTTTTTAAATAGATTTAACATTGTTC